CAGCATGGTTTATACTAGCTTTCAGGCCTCTAAACCTCTTCACACTCAATAATTTAATGCCTAACCATTGTGTCAAGGTGTTATTTCTTCCATTTGGGCATTACACATAGAATTAACCCTTAATTAGAAAAAGCAAAATTGCCATTTTGGTAAAGTGATACTTTATGTCAAATTCCAAATCCTTGAGACATAAGCCAGATCTTTGAGGCAAAACTTTGTACACAAATCCCATTTACCAAGAGAAAATGCGGCAGCATACATGATAGAGGTCACGGGCCTGCATTGTCAAGTTGAACTTTCTTACTTCAAAAACAAGTAACATTGCAAAACATATCCAACTTTCATTTTCTGTAAACAGAAGCCAGAACAAACTTTGTACTCATCTTCCATACATCCCAACTGACCTAAAACACGACTCAACCACCCCTCATACCTCCTAATACACCAAAACACCATCTTGCTGCAAAAACAGGGCATCTGCTGCAGATTGAGGTCCACAACTCAATCCACTCGTGCACTTCTGCTAAAAACCTTTCAAACACCTTCCATACCATCCACCTAAACTATTCCAAGCCTTACACACCAGCTGTAACACCTCTAACCTCATTTGCCATTTTCATTTTCAAGTGTTGCAGGTGAACTTATACAGCACAATACAAAGTGTTTCAAAGCAAGCCAGGCATTTAGGAAGCATCCTTGGACTTCAGGCAAGCTCAACATAAGCTCAAACTCCATTGAAGGTTGCTACATTGCTCTATCCAAGACAAGCTGAAACAGGTAATCTATGGACTTCTATCTCTCTATCCAGGCATGATTAAGCTTAGGTTTGTGAATGAAACATGTTCTACTCATAGCCCTGAAGCCATACATGTGGCCATTTTTCATTTATATTAAGCATGCTGTGAGAATTTTAACCATGAATATTTGAAAAAAAAGCTAGGTCAGAAATTGGGGGTGATGAAATTCTCCCTGGTTTCTTAGAGTTAGGTCAAGTTTTTTACATGTTTGGAATCGTGGTTTGATGCTCTACAATGTTTGTGTTATGAGTTTTGGCTAAAAATCAAGGAATCAAGAACTTGTATTTTGAAAGAGGATGCGCGCGTTTGACAGTGCTAGAGGTTGAAGAAGGTTGGCTTGGGCTGGGCATGAGTCAACTTGACTTTTTGCACCCCTTTTTTCCATTTGCACCCACTGGCCCATTTTATTTAATATTTGACATTTTTGCATTTTTCTTTTTGATTCTGATTTTATATTTTTTGCTCAAACATAAAAAACACCAAAAATATTTTTTCCACATTTTTTACATTTATTTGGCATTTATCTACTTTATTAAACATGTATATGTAAATAAATATCAATCCTTTTCATTTAAAAAACCTAAAAAAATAATACAAAAATAGTCATCTTTTGGTTATTATTTTTTATTTACATTTTGAAAACATTTTCTAAAATATACATTTTTATAAATAATTAATATTTTATTTTTGTACATATTTAGCATATTTAATATATATAATATATAAATACTTGTATATTTTATTTTATTAGATAATTAGGGAAAAAATACAAAAATAATACTTTTTATTTTTTATCTAATATTTGACACTAAAAATACTTTATTAACAATATACTTTTTATTTTTGCACAAATTAATATATATTGTACATAATCAATAAATAATACTATTTATTAAAAAACTAGGGTTTAATCCTAAAATGACAAAAATAATCAAAAATATGACTTTTTTTATTTTGTTTATACTTCAAACATGAAAACCTTTTTCACATACATAAACAATCTCTTTTTTGCATAATGCATCTTTATTTGATACTTATTTATTTATATTTATTTAAATGTTAAATATTAATTTGTATATTCGATATGGTTGTAATAATTTAGCATTTATTTCCTTGTCAAATATCCCCCAATTCAAACTTGTATCCCCATCCCCATAATCATGTTGTAATAATCTAGGACTTTAAATTCTCGCACATTTAAAAGCTCCCAAATTATGTCATGCTTAGACTTAGGGTTTGTATTCAAAATCAATCAACAAATAGCTTGACCTAATTCAAGATAAACATGCATGAAAAACAAACACAATGCACACTTACACCCCTAGGGTTACATCCACTTGTTGCCTTCAAAAATGGGCCATGTTTGCATGTCAAGTACTTTGGTAAAACAAAAACAAAACAAAAACAAACAAAATGATCATAGTCCCTCGATGACGCTATCTTGTTGCCTAAACAAAATGATCATAGTCCCTCAAGAAAATTGCCAAAATACTTGACACTATTGCTTTCATGGTCTATACGATGACCCGCACCCGTCCCGTTAACATCCAAACACAAGGTTGTTCACCAAATACAATGGTGAAATAACACTGTTAAAAGGGTTAAAAAGCATAAAAAAGGATCTTTGAGTAAAATATGGTAGATAGCTCTTAGTTACTTGATCAAACTTGCAAAACACACTTGCTACTTTTCAAAAACACACATCACAACACAATTTCAAAACAACTTTCAAAACGTTGAAAACCTTTTCAAAAGATAAACACACCTTTGTATATACTCAAACACGAGTCATTACAAAGGTTGCCACAACAATGACCTCTTTTCAAAACAACTTTCAAAACATTGAAAACCTTTTCAAAAGATAAACACACCTTTGTATATACTCAAACACGAGTCATTACAAAGGTTGCCACCACTATGGCCTCTTTTCAAAACATCTTTCAAAACCACACACAAAGCACCATTTCAAACAATTGAAAATGCAAAGCAAGTGATCTAAGCAAAGTAACTAAGAGCCCATGGATAACCATGGATAGAAAGGGTGCTAAAACCTTCCCTTTCTATAATCTACTCTCCGAACCCGAGAGAAACATCTCAAAGGTCTTTCCTGTGCTTTTTGACCTTTCCTTAGGATAAAATAAAAAGTCGGTGGCGACTCTTGCTAAACCGAAACATTTGCAAAAACAAACGCAAAACTCAAATCAGTTCTCCCACCGTATCACACCATCATTACACATTTAATGCGACGCGTGGCTCGAGGAAACATGACGTGTTGTCCTTTCAGATTCCATCAATATTTTGGCCTCTTCGGACGCCGAACACGAACGACAATTTCGTCTTCCTAACAAGCATTCGACGCGAGCACTAGTTTAAACTACGGACTATGGACCCCGCACACTGCGTCCTCTAATGGAGCAGGTACTTACAATAAGCATTTGTTGCAAGCACAATAGACAATCGCGCGAGTTCGCAAACCACGAACTCTAACGAGGACTCTCCTCGTGAATAATCCATCACTCTTCCTTGACATACGGGCTGACTCTAAGTCATTGCTCCTATGTCCAGAAGCAACGATTTGGGGATTCTTGTTCTGGACTGGACCTATGGCTGACCCAATTCACTCGTGTACAGAACGACCCAAGAGCGCTGGCCCAATCCGTTAGGGCCAGCATAAAACACATCTTTCGTGTTCCCCTCTCCCGGGGACACGTGGCCAACAGATGCCGCACATCCCGCATAGCTGGAAACAGACGTCTTTGCCCGCGATAACGACTAGTTCCACGCATTTCCCGTGAGACGTGGACAACTTCCCAGGATAACGAGCATGAACTGACAGTCCCTGCTTTCACGCAGGAATCATTGCAGTTACCTATTTTTGGGCCTTGATATTCGACCCTAAAATAGGAATCAATGGCTAAGCGTTGAGGGAACTATAAATATCCTCACACTTGTGAGGGTCGGGTATTCAATTCTCAATCCCTTTTTTCTCTCACGTGTCTCTACATTCTTACTTACTTGAGCATCAAAGTGTCTTGCAGGTACACCCCCCTCCTCCGTGATTTCAGCACTGCAGACGAAGCTATTGACCCATTACATGTTCTGATCACCGGTAAAATCAATTTTTATATTATAACTTAAAATGCCAAAACATAGTAACTAGAAATATTCGCCAATTTATTGTAAATGTCGTCGACTCCACTAATACCACCATATGAGAGTTTGGTTTCTCAAGGCTTTCACCGCCTCCGACATTTTCTCACTCTTTAGTGTTTTCACAACATTAAAATGCTTCTCAATACCAATCAACCACCAATAAGAATCACCGCTACCGTTAAATTATGACATGTCTATTTTCCTCTATTGTGATTTTCTTACTTCGAATTAAAACAGCTTTGATACCGGTTGATAGAAACTAATATTGAGATTGTTTATTTAAGAAAATATATTAGAAACTGCTACTATTGTACCGGTCATAGATATTGGAATATGGGGAACATGTGAATAAAAAATAATAATAGAAACTCAACAACATAGGAACAAAGCCTACATATATCCAACTAGCATACAAAATACCTGATACTCTCCCTTTTCCCTTTCATCCTATATTTAATAATTAAGACTACCTAAAACAGTTAAATAACTACTAGATAAACAATATTTAATAATAGTAAAATAAATTGCATATGACTGACGTATTGTCTTCTGAAAAGAGTCAAACTGTGTTGATGTTGGACATTTGGTTCTCTTTAAATATATCATTGATGCTCTGCAGATTTATTTACTAAGTTTTACAAGGCTTTCATATGAACTACCAATGGGAAGTAACAATTATGATTCAGTTGAAGACAATCTTTGAGTGAGGCATAATTTAATATCCTAGACGCGTCCTTTTTTAATTGCAGTTTGTAAATGAAGCAATACATGTCTAAAAAGAAGCACTTCAATGACTGAAAAAGAGAATAAGCTTTAAGACAAGATAGAAAAACAGAAAGAATCTATGTTTTATTGTATCTGATATTGGCTTTCTTCACCAAATTAAATAACAATGATCAAGACTTAAGTAGTTTGCTAATCCCTATCAACTAGTAGGAAAAAGCAAAACCCTCTAAAAAGAAAAATAAAAAACTTCTTTATTTAATACTCTTCCATTTGATTGGAGGTATAGCAAAACAACATTCACAAATGAATCAAGATTTTCTAGTTTCACTTCTTGTCCATTCCAAGGGTGTGCTTCACGGTCTCCACAGCACCATGAGCCATGTTCTTCACTTGCTCTCCAGTCTGCAACAAAAAGATATATATGCTTTTAACAATGACACATTCCAAATTTATAGATAGATATATATATATATTTGTATTGAGGTTAGGTAGAAACCTGTTGGAGAAAACCAGCAGCTTCCTCTTTGTTTCTTTCAGCAGTCTCTCCTGATGTGTTAGCTGCTGCATGAGCATGTTGAGCAGCATGCCCGGCAGCTGAATGGGCTTGGTCTGCAGCCTGTCCGGTAGCTGCTTGGGCATGTTGTCCGGGACCTGAATGAGCGCGGTCTGCAGCGTGTCCAGCAGATGCCTTAGCCTGCTGGGCAGCTGCAGAGGCAGATTCCTTGGTGGATTGAACCCATTCTTCTGCCTTAGCCTATCCATATTTAATCAAAAATATACAATTAATTAACATAATCTATAGTTTTCAAGTACATGAAAGTGTTAATAAAATGTAATTAATAATTTTTGGTTTTACCTGAGTCTGGCCTTGGGTTTGGCCATGAGAGAAGCTTTGTTGAGCACTTGACATGATGATGATTAATGGGATTGAGAAAGTAGAATATTACAATGAACAATAGATAGATATTACAAGTTTGTGTTGTTCTTATTGGTCTTGTTTCATAAGGTATATATAGTGTTTTGGTTTGCATGAAAATGTTTTACGTAATGCATGGATATAGGATCTGTAACTATTGGCGCATATTTCTGCTTCTGAAATGGACTTTGTACGAGAGAATGCATGTAAGCCTCTAACAAGAGAAAACTACGCATCTCCAGTTCTATTAGAAGAAAAAACCGTTACTATTTACACAATAACAATAATATTATTGATTTAATGCGAGAGAAAAATGTGTGAAAAAAATATTAATCATGTCTTGGTGCCAAGTATTAATCTTCTTCGAAAAATCTAAGTGCTCTTCTTTGATTGGATCTCTTCTGCAAACAAAAATATTACCATCCATCAATATTCTAGCTGATAACTTGTTTAAATTGGTGGTACACTTTAATGAAAAAATAATTGTAAAAATGTAGTGTGTTTTAGGGGGAAATTAATAGTTGAGAAAGAGAATTATCATTTTACCATTTTTACAAAAAATATCGTGATTATCATAATGTCTAAACTATTATCTTAAATATAAAATAAATTATATAAAATTAGAGGTGATGTATAATTTTTAAATAAATTGTACATTTAATTAATAAACAAAAAATGGTTTTCCTATAAATATAATTATTATTGTTGTTACCCGTTTCACAACTGATGTTACGACTCAAAAAGATTTGGGCCCAAAGGTATGAAGTCCTTTGAAGCAATGGGCAACACCATAATGACTTCATATTAATGACATCATCGCATGATATCAGCCCCATAATTGTACACCAAAAGAATATTATACTACCTCGAGAACAAACGTGGAGGTGTTTGGGAACATACTTGATACGAGTGAATGATTGAAGAGAGATTGTTGGATGACAATACAAATTATAGTTTGGCATATGTCTATCTGAATGAAGATCAGTGTTCTGAAAATTCTAGACCTCTAAAATTTTAGAAGAAGGGAAACAGATCACTTCATGGCCTCACTCTAGGGAGCTAGACAACAAACAACGAAACAAAAATCTTGTTGAGAAACCTGCTCAGGGTAGTCAATAGACAATCTACCACACTTGAGTTTCAAAACAAACATATTTGAGAAATCGAGATTCCAAACTACAACCATTTTCCAATTCTCATATTTCACAATAACGTACTCACAACCCATTATGACAATTCCTCTAGGTGTCGGAAACCTTGACACCATCAAAGGAGAAAAATGCGTTCCCCACCACCTCGAAGGAATTCTTCGTGAAAATTGAAGCCAGAAGGAGACCTACTAAGATATTGGGGTCGTCGTTGATGATGAACTTCTCTTTCCTTATCCTCTGATGGTTATGTAAGGGATTAAAATGTATCATTCTGAAACACCTTCAACATAAGAATCAACAAATACCATATCAAGAGGGAACTCTAGAAACCTATAGGAATGGAGACCTATGATGGAATAACTGATTTGGAAGATCATGTGGAAATGGTGGATGTTCTCTTGAATTTTAGGAGAGCAAAAAGCCCTGAAAAATAAAAGATGTTTATCCTTACTCTAAAAGTATCGGATATTGCTTAGATTTGAGGATTGAGAAATGAATCAATTAACTCTTGGGGAAAACTTCATAGATGTTTTTATATACACATCACAATGTCGCAAAGGCATACCAAGTAAGTGGAAAACATGGGATCCATCAGATAAGGGATAGATAAATCACAACGACCCTACATTGAGAGGTTTAACAAAGATTAAATATTGGTCAATATCACTGCAAGTATGATGAAAAATGTTTGTTAAGTCTTGGACTCTAATTAGGATCCAAATTTGACGAGAGTATTGGAGATGTAAAGGGAGAATTTCCATAAAAATACAAAGATTTTACTCCTTAGAACGTGTTGAAAGAACGTATCTTGCAAGAATGCATCAATGGTTAATTTTGAGAAGAGAAAGTTGAAACACCAAAACATATTTGGGAATGTTTCGGAGTGAAAAGTTCTGATTTTGTCATTTTCACATATGAATGGTCATAACATAGAAGAATACATACAATTAAAGGATACTATTGAAGAATTAATTACAAATGGGTGATACCTAGATTTTCCTACCAAGATAAGATCATATCCAAGGAAAAAAAGACTAAAGGAAGAAACCATGTAAAAGAGAAGGATTGGAATAGACCATGTGGCTAAAAAGAAAAGAATTTTGATAATGAAGAAGAAAATGAATTGTCGACCACATACATAGTCTTAGAAGGGATTTTTAGTGAATGAGAAAGACTACTTATACTTAAGAAAATTGAGGACGAGTCACTATAACTATGGGAGGCACTCCCTATTAACCCAGGGTATGTCAAAATGACATAAAAGAATCAGATAATATAGGTGACCAATGGAACAAAATCTTCCATGAATAGACCATGTTGGCCACAACGGGGGTGGTTCCAAAAGGATTCCCTTATTTCAAAGGAGCCTCTATAACTCGATAAAAAGAAAGCTAAGAGAAAAGACGTTGTAGGAAAAGAAGTAAGAAAAAGAACAATCTAGGAAAGACCGACCAGCGATTTCCTTATGTGGGAAAGAGCCTGTTAACGTAATACTCAAATTATATGTCCTATTTTTGATAAGACTTGTCATGTCCAGCTATGATATATTAATATTTTCTTTAGACTAGGGAAGGTCATGGAAAATAATGTATGCTAATCTCTTGGAAACTTTACACTTGACTCGAGAAAGTGTCATTTCATACAAAGGAAGCGACCTTTAAAGGTTAAATGGATCGACAACAAGGCTAAGGGGGTACATTGAACTAATGGTGTCTTCTAGAAGGAATAAATTTAGGAAAACTATTAATACATTTGATAACCTAAGGGTTACTTGTTCAAAGGTCCACCTAAGCGCAAATATCACTTCGATGAAGACATCATAACATCTGTGGAAGGAAACTTTGAGGCCTGTTAATATTTCTTCTTGGAATTACTCAAACAATGTCTGGAAAAGATCTACGCCAAAGAAAAGGAACTAATATTGATTAAAACTGAGAAGGGTCCCAAAGATTACAATATTAGAAAAAAATCAAAAGAAAAGACAAAGGATCCCTAACAAACCACTTTCAAGTTTGACAACACGTGGGTATGACTTAAGGCCGACTATTGGACTAAAAGGAGTTGTCGTAATAATTATGCCGACAAAAAACACAAAGTGGAAAGTTAAATTTTTTCATCCACAATGAACAAGGTGAATGTACTTGTGAATTTAGCATAATGAGTAATTAATGGTAATAGGGGGTGCATAAAGCATGATTGATTAGTTAGCGTGCAATTTGTAAAAACTAAAACTAAGATGACAATTGACAAATATAATTATAAAAGCGATTAATATCCCCTTTTAATCATCTATCTCTATGTGAGAGAAATCCCACGACTTATCCTATATCAACTTTGTTTTAATTATGACCTTTTACAAAAACACATAATTATAATCTTTGCAACCCCTATATATTGAATCCACGCCCAAGGCAGCAAGCTTTGTCAAAAGTAACCCGTCATATACTAGGAGTCTCCAATTACAATGAGAAAGGTTTTATGGCATATAAATTAAGAATACAAATCTACAAAACTCATAATAACAACATCACAACCTCTTATATATTGGGAGTCTTCAATCGCAAGGTGACTCACTTCATCATAAGAAACCCCCATATATTTGGAGTATCTAATTACAATGAAAAATGTTTTATAGTTTGTAAATCTTTGCTAATAGCCAAGATTATTCCTATCGCAACACAAACTATCATTATAATCTTATAGTTTTTCAAGTCAGATGAACAATTCTCCACTAAGTCTCAATTGTCAACCATATCAATAATCTCAATTCCATATATGTGAGAAAACATTAAACTCAAATAAAATCGTATAATCATAAACAAAAGTTAATTACAGAGTTAACCATGAAGAATTACATGAATCTCATGTTTATGGTAGAATCATCTATAAATAACTTAATAGGGGACTAGCCACTACGAGTTGTTACAAAATATATAATCGAATAACTCTAATGTGTTAATAGATTATCTAGTGTGAACTTTAGCCATAAAGGATTATTCGAGCTAGTAACCAACTAGTTACTTGTGTAAAATATTTTCTTGTTGTTTACACAAAATAAGAGGGTCCTAAAAATGTTTGATGGGTGTGTGAAGGTTTCCTTAGGAAAGTATGAATTACACTAACACTTTTACAATACATTGTTCACTTAGACGAGCTTACACACTTCCTCGCTTTCATAACTTTGAAGCTTCAAGTTCCTTGCTACATTATATTTGACTTTAGAACTTCATTAGAACCCTAAATATTCTCCCTGGCGAGGCAAGATATAAATTCAGGATGATCATCATCATCAAAGAAAATTGGAAAGATATCACTGTTAGAACATAGTTTTATTCTACAACCCTTGTAAGAGTTTTGATGATAACAAACACACAAAGAACAATTATGCTCCCTAAACAAGTATTTTGTTTATAGAGAAGTTCTGATGGAAGAAGCACAAAAGATGAGTTAGATTGTTGTTCAAACTCCGATTCATTACATCTTTTATAAAGAAGTTCTAAACTACAACTTCTGAGTGCCTAAACGCTGCAAGCAGGAACTCTGTTATTTTGATTCATACATTCTGGAAAGAAGTAACAGTAACTTTCATCTTCTGAAGCAAGCATGTTCTGAAGCGTTACAATTCACTTATGGCTATTAAAAAGTAACGATTGAAAGGGGATAAGAATCTCTATATTTGGAAAGCTCTTCAATTACTATTTATCAATATTCCAAAAGCTCCCACATGCGTTGCCTATATAAACAAACCTTGAAGGAGAAATCATTTACGATTTTGTGCACACAACAAACGAGATTTTTTCATCACCTTCAACATACTGAATTTCATTTTGTGTAAAACATCAC